AGGACTTCGATCTTGATGTGTTACAATTTAATCAGAAAAAATCAATGGTTTAGACGGAGACAACTAAAATGTGCGAATAATCTCGTCGTAATGCAGAATCTAACCAATTCTGTCAATTTATTCGCCATCAGACATCACCAAATCACCATTACTTTTTGGTAAGTTGTATATTATAAAATTTTGCTGAAGTCCATATTTTTAGATGAAGGTAATATATTATTTGTCCACCAAAAAATTAAAAGCAAAAATGACTGAAAACAAAAATGCAATGAGTATTTAAGAGAAGAAAAAATATTTATTTGATATATAAATTGCATCTTTTTATGTTCAGTCTAAAGCAACATTGCATTTAAAATATATCAACAAAGCTTGAATATTTTGCATAATATTTTTGAATAAAAAAAAATCTTTACAAATTTGTTTTATTTTACAATTTGAATAGCAAAACATATTCAGAATATTTATCGGATAAACATCTCCTATTACAAGTTAACTGAAAAATAAATAATTTGTTTAATTCTCTTCTTACAAGAAATTATTTTTATATCAGGGTAGGCATCTTTTCTTTTTTGAATTAATTATTTTAATGAATAGAAAAAAGATGAAGCAAAAAATATATACATAGTCGCAGTTAAAACATCCATCAATTTGCAAATAATTTATTTCGGAGTATTTCTAGAAACACACTATTAAAGAAATAAATATCTGAACGAAAAGAAAAATTGAAATAAAAAAAAAATAGCTGCTTTAAAAATAACTAACTTTACAATTTCTTTAAGGATATATGTTAAACTACGTTATGTGTGTGTTTTTTTTTTTAATTTTTATTTTATGTCGCGAAGAAAATCTTGTGACTTTCAAATCATTTTTGTATTTATATGATTGATTGAAACACATTTCAAAATTACGGATAAATTCAAGCAGTCATTTTTTCATTTTAGAAAGCTTCCTCCCACTTCAGACCAATTTCTATTAATTTTCTTCAATTTTCTAGCAGTTCGCTAAACGTTGAAACATTAGTTCGTCAAATGGGAGACATTTTGGACAGAATTCTCCCCATTTTTGCGGCTTTTAACTTATTACAAAAACCTTGAAAGCCTATAATTTGGACGCATCCTGCCCCCGTCTGTAAAATGAAGATGTATCACACTTCGTTTCCGAAAGAACATGCAAAATTATTAGTTAAATCATCACATGACTTCTAAATTAACCGTCTATTATAGCGCTTCGTGAGGCAGAGGCCGAGAATTTACGTCGGCGAGGCTCTTAAATAAAGGAGGAAATGGTGCGAAATTAACTAATTTAATACAAATTTCAGAGATGCATGTTATTGTTATATGACTTCATTGCGGTCGTCATTTTTCTCCAATTAACACGTGTAAACCAATACTCTGGGGTGGTGCTCCCTGCACGCGATGCACAGCGCCTGCGTTCGAAGAATCCGCTCTTTCTAAGCTCTTTAGATGCTCGCATATTTTTCACACTAATCTGGAGAAAAAAAATGCTTTTTTGAATTTAAAAAAATACTAAAAAGTAAAATTTACAGTGATTATAAATTTCTTTTTTTTCAATGGGTTTGAAAAATTATTTTTTGTCGTATCAAGATTTTTACCCAAAGTGATTTGAATAAAAACATTCCTAAATTCTTGTAAATTGTTCCATGTTCCACTTTCTGTGTCTTTCCCTGCATGTTGTGTTTTGCATGATATTTTCAAAATAAAAAAAATGTAAGGAAAATGAATAAATAATTAATTAAATACTACCATGAAATAAATAAAGTTTTATGGTTTCCAGAAAAAATACCCCCCCCCTTCAATATTGCTGAAAATGGGAAAATAGTGATATACGAATGATATACGTAAACAACAGTTTTATTATTCACATGACATGCCAAAGTTTAAAGCAGATTACTTTAATTTTGACGTGGTAACTTATATCTTATATTGACGAAAATCTTATATCTGTACAAGTTTTGCCATTCCGCCCCAATGCAAAGGGGAATTTTACAATTCAATATATGTACATTTTTACTGTTACATGTATAGCGATTTATATTTTTCATAACATCTTGTTTTTACATTTTAATTTATCCTTCCAAAGACAGGTACCAATTTTATTTAATTCTTAAAAATTTTTAAGATTATTTTTTTTTCAAATTTACAAGACTGGGTACATGTACTGATTTCATTTGATTTTTTAGCATAGATAAGAAAAAAAAATATGTCAGAAGCCGGCGTTCCTGAAAGTAACCTTTACAAGGAAATCTTGTTTTATAGCAGAGTATAAGCTTATAGAAATAGAATAATCCTGATAGAACTACTTTTAACTTTGTCCACATTGAATAATTATCCGACACCGTGTGGTATACAAATACAAAGATAATCAAAAGTGCAATTTTGCTATCAAAAATAACTTTTTTAAATTCTCTGATTCACAATGTCTTGTCACAGGTTTGCTGTTGCGGAAACAGACCTTAGTGTCTGCATTTCCGGTTCATATCGAGCATTGCTTCCGTTTTTGTGTCCTTACTAAATTTGACCATTGTAGAAAATCCAAAAGTAATTTATTGCTGACACGCTCAATTTTTCATCCCGATAATTAGTAATAAGAATTTTTCGTTCATTATCAAGAGAGAAATAATCCTGTCACGTAGATGGATAAACGGAAGCTAAATGTTCATTATAAAGGTTAAAATCGGCTCATATGGCTGTGCCGGATTTTTACGCGAGCTTAATCTGTTTTCCTTCAGAAATCAGTTACTCATTTGCCTAAATTAGTCGCAGTGGGTATTAAATATCCTCGAACGCACCTAATACACAAACGAAATCATTTGTTATATTAATTGGCAAAATATCGACATCAACTGAATTTATCTAATTTTGGTGAAGATTTTACATCGTTTATTATAAGAATTATGGCAAATCAGCGAAGTCCCAGACGACACTCTCCTAGCACGCTATCCTTAATTGGCCAAAGAAAAAGCATCGCCTATATGACATGAATAACTTACGCAGAGAAAAATGGCCTTAAGTAATTGCATTACACCGAGAGCTCGTTTCTGTCAATAATTATTCTGTAAACGAAGTGTTCACCTGTCTACGGGAAAATTTGGATAATTTTTCCTGGTTGGAGCAAAAGCGAAATATTTTTCGAGGGTTACAAAAGTCGAAATTCAACTGTTAATTGTTTTTCTGTGGGTGCCTTTTTGTTATCAATGTTTTTAATAAAAATGAGAGAGAGAGAGAGAGAGAGAGAGAGAGAGAGAGAGAGAGAGAGAGAGAAAGAAAGAGAGAGAGAGAGAGAATGTTTTCCAATAACCCGGTAGAACAGTTGTTCCCTTACAAAATCAAATAAAAATTAAAATTATGTAACTAGTTTAAATACATTACATAATGTAATTTTATTTTTTAAATTAAAAAATATGTGATTAAACATTAAGTTAAAAAAGTGTTAAAACATATTCAAATGAATTACGGATGGCAAGGTATAAAATGTTTTTGGACATTCTTTAACGAAATTGTTTCTTAAAAGCATGAAATTATTCCTCCATATGGATAAGTAATTCAAAATCATTTTTCTATGAAATTAAGTTAAGCAATTTTCCATATGTAGTTTAATAATGCAAAATAACTCTTTTATACGGTCTATTAGTCTTTACAGGCAGTTTAATATTGCGATGTTACCAGGCGTATAATTGTCAAAGAAAACATTGCTCCCTTCAAGCCCAAGTTTATACACATGAAAAATTCAAATCTAACAGAACTTTTTCGCAGACTAAGCTCCACTAGGCATTAATTTGAAATTTTCGCATTTAACACTTCAAATATTATGGTGTAAACTTTGAGAAATATGGATTGTTTTCCTTAAAAGAACAGCTGTTGATTAGGAAGATCAAGTGAAAAATCAAATTACAATAGAATCGTTTAAACATTTCCGCACTTGACGCTCATTGCTGAAATAATGCACAACGCCGACAGATGTAGTGGAATATTTCCCTCTATTCCATGATTAGGGATAAATCAAGTTCTTTTCCTATTCCCCGAATTTAAATCTTATTCTGGTATATTTAGCCAAAATAGTTCTGATTGTGCCATAATATAATATAACAGATTGCATGTTACATCCGATGCTTTAGTGGGTGCTTACTTTACTTCAATTTTTGTAAGTTTTATTAATTTTTGTCTTTTTTATAATATAAAAATCAAATTAATGGTATAAATACTACATTTACATGTTATGGTATTTTTATAGCGTGATAAATTGATTATTCTACACCTGTCCAAACATATTAGGATAAGATTCGCTTGAACAAAATAAAGTAAACTGACATAAAAAAAATTACCGTACCATATTGTACGTAGAGATATATTTTCTTGAAAATAAAATTTGTTGCCCCGGGTAAGCGAGAATGTTTGTGAATCATTTCAGACTAAAAATGCCAATTTTTCTGTCTCTCTTCTATGTAATTAGAGAAAACAGTCATGTAATTTTTACATTTTCTGGGTGGTAGTAAAATTTCCATGCAACTTTTTCTTTACTTACTATGATTTAAATTACAACTTGACAAAATTCTGTGTCTTTGCATGATTGAAGCTCTGAGCAAAGTGGTGATACAATGCCATTTTCCTTCGATGGTACAGTAGTAATTAACACACTTCACACCAACATACGGTTTACTGATAAAGAAGTTAAAAGGCCAAAAATATAAACATTAATAAGAGAAAAAAAAATGATTGCCAACTCTATTTATTAAATATTTTTTTAACATGGGAAGTTGAAAAAATGCAATTCCACATAATGACACTAAATTTTTTCATTTATATATAAATCGGTATTTCTATTTGGAGTTTGTTATGAATTTAATTTCATATTTCATGTCAGTTTGTCAGTACTAGGCAAATTTCCTTGATTTGGGGTGTTTAATATCATGGTATTGTTTTATTTGGATATGATACCGCGTCACGTGACGACATAAGCCAATCATAAATAGATAAAAGAGTGACACATCTATAGATTTATTAAATGATACTTCTATTTCTAATATTTTATTATCCATTTTCTGCCAGAAAAGGTAATATATGGTGATTTTTGTGCATCTTAAATGTCTTGAATTTCAAAATTTTGAATTAGATTATGCATTGATCATTGAATTTAAAGATTATTCAATTCTATTTAGAATGATTTAATAAACTTGTTTTAGAACAATTATTTGTGATTGATTTTATCGAAAATTAAATTGCAAGATTCTAATGAATTTAATATTGTAATATGTGAGAAAAAAAAACGGTTAGAAAGAATGATAAAATTATATATATAGAATTTATACGAGATTTAACATCTCCCTCGCGAAGATTAATTCTATCCATTTTCAAATTTTGCCTAATCAAAGAAAGCTTTGACAGCGTCTTGGCTATTGGCTGATTGCTATTTTGTCGCCTCCTCTTGCCAGCTTTAGCAATGCAAAAATCTAATCATCGAACCAAAAAGGGGAGAACAAAATTTCTCCTCGTCTATATTTGCTTGATATCTTATTATTGAATGATTTTAGATGATTTCTATGTTGATTTCAGATCCTAAATTTCAAATACATAAAATGCAGTTCTCAGAAGGGCAAGGAACCAGACCAACGTCTTTCTTTATTGATGATATTCTACTGAATAAACCAAAACCAGCATTCCGGGATTTGCCATCTCTACCCGTCAGACCAACTGTCACGGATTTTCCAGGTTATCCCTATTTTCCGGGTATCTTCTACCCACACCAAGTTCTGCAACAGACGCAAAGCTTCTTACATAAGCACCCAGAGCACGGCCATCCATTTTTGATGCCAACCGTTGCGGGTGAGTACTTTTAATTTTTTATATAAGGTTGTGTTCGATTTGATCAAATTTCTACAAGAAATTTATAAAAGAAACACAATTCAAATAATTGATATAGAATTTAATTTATTTAGAACTTTGTTAAACAAACACATATTTACTATCAAATTTAGAAAAATTAAAGCCTTTTAAAAAATACTCAAATTTTGATTCTTCTGATGAAAATACAAATACTACATTAAAAGAAATAATTGCAATATTTCTATTCTAATTTCTCGGATCGTGCCAAGATTTGTCAAATAAAAAAAAGGTCGTTTTCAACTAGGAGCATTTAAAAATATATACATGTATAAGGTATATAATCACTTAGAATTAAAATAATTTTAAAGACCTATTTTTAGACAATTGTTGACTGTTGGAATGTATTTAAAACTTCTTCGTGACTTACATATTGATACATCCAAATTTTGGACAAATTATTCATTTCAGTAATTTTAACTAAAATCTTCCTGTATTTTTACAGGTACATTTCAAACAAATAAAAAATGAAATAAATAAGTACAAAAGACTTTAAATCATATAATGCGAATTTGAATGAGTTTTGAAACGAATCTATAAGTGTTTTATAATTAATTTTCAACGAAACTTAATACAAATAAATAATTATGTGAAATTCCTAGCAATGCAAATGCTTTGCCTTTTTGCTACTTACTTCAGTAGAAAATTGAACGGAAGCAATCTGTTGAAAATACTTGATATACACTTAATTCGAATGACATAATTATTAACGAGTAGATCAGTGAATGAATGATATTGACCTACTTATTTTAACAAACTAAGCTTTTTTCAAGAATCCCTCGAGAAAAAAATGACCATATCAGATGAAACAATGAACAATTATAAAAAAACTCCGGAAGTTCTCTTAATGATTCAAAATTCATCAACTGTTATCCTAGTCAGCAGGAAATAATGAAACTCCTTTTATATAGTGTCAACATTTTTTGGCCACACTATATACATGTAGCTATACATGACTTTAATTATTGGCCTATACGAGGAAAATTGCACATTGGAAAAACAAAACTTCAAGGAGAGAGAGAGAGAGAGAGAGAGAGAGAGAGAGAGAGAGAGAGTGAGAGAGAGAGAGAGAGAATTATTAGTGAAAGATTCCATTACTTTCTCTTGGATAAATGCAAAAACAACATAACTTCTTTACCAAAGATTCAATTTACAATTTTAACCTTTATGTAAAAAAATGAATGGTATTGTAATTTACCATTTTACTATTTTTAAATCCAAGTTGAATTTTTCATGTTCTCACTAAGAATTAAGAAAAAGAAATTAGTAAATGTCGGTATAAATGAAGAGATAATTAAATAAAAAGTTGATAACTGTTGTTTTTTAGAACATTTAATTAAATTACTTGATCTTGCACTCAGGAGCAAACATAAACCTTCCAGAATATATCTTTGTTTGATACTTTTGAAAACAATCTGGAATGCCAATTATTGAATGAAATGAAAAATAAATAACCATAGAAATGATGTTATGTATGCAGTTCTCCAATCAAATTGCAGGCTATATACAATCACTTGAAAATTTCTTATGTAAGTATTTAAAAACTCAGTTAAATTTACCCAAACAATTTTATTTCAATTTCTATTTAATTTCAAACATTCTGCTATACAACATGAACAACAACCAAAAGATATCATCAACTTAAAACAAAAATTGTTTAAAGAACACAGACTTGTGTGCATAAATATATATTATTACATAAATAAAAGGAATAGAATACGTCCATTTTAAAACAGATATTTTTTTTCCCGATATTTTTTTTTTAAATTTTGCGTCGAGAAGTCTCCTGTTAGAATTTGCATTTTTTTTCTCAAATACAGGAATAAAGTTTGGGTGTGTCAGACCCCTTTTTTGTCGTTACTGCAAATAGCACAAGTAACAGAGTCTAACTGAGCATTTAATTCTTTAAATGTGAAAATGTTTTACAGTGATGTCTCTGCTTTCCCCATCCCTTACAACGGGCCTCCAAATTAATTTTTTCTGTCGCAATTAGCACAAAATTCGTGAGGCGGATTTGTGACAGGATATATAAACTCATATTATATGAAGTAAAAATATAATCTCCTCTGATTTGGGGCTATTCTTTTAATCCATAAAATGACAAAAGGAAATAATCAAATGAACAGGACAAAAATATTTCCCTGCGACTTCCATAAACTGTTCAATGCACACGGTATTTGATTATTTTTTAAGGGGGGGCTGTAGCATATAAAACTGATTCCACGAACCACGAACAAAAATAACCAGAAAATGAAGAAGAAGAAGAAAAAAAAGAAATTTAAAAAAAACCTGCCAGAAATAAAAATTTGCATTGTTTCAGTACGTTTTCATATTTAACATAAATTTTGCGGCCAGTTCCTTCTTCCCCTCTGTTATTATATATCTATTTTTTTTTTAAATATTTTTATGGGTGAATCTTGTAGTAATTGAATATTAATTATGTGCTTGATAACTGCGACCTAGTTAATGTCTTTCACATGGCCTTTAAAGATGAAGAAAACATACGGACTTCTTAATTACATTTTACTAGACAATATTAAACATGATTCATTAGTTAAGTATTACAGTATTATTTCAATTAAGATAAGTGAAGTATGGGATTTACAGGTATATTACTTTATGTACATTAGCATTAAAAATCTAATATAGGGATTACCTCCCTTCCTTTGTACACCTGCCGACGATCTTGAAAAAAGGGGGGTCGCAGTTTGTATTTAAATAAAATCCGGATATTCAATTTTTTACCATCATTTATGCATTTTAAAATAATTTGACAGACAACGGTGCAAAAAAGTGTTCAGAGCTATTATTTTTCCACATAAAAAGGAAAAATAAAATATAAAACATTTCATTACCGTCCGCATTTCAATCGGCTCGAAAATATTGTTGATATCGACAAATTTTTAACCACGCCAAACATGACAAGGTTTTTCAAAAAGCATTTTGTGGCATAATATGTTAACAATATTTTGCTGCAAGTAACAAATCTAAGGAAATGACACGTCTTTTACAAAATAATGATAAAAAAATATAACCCCCTTTACAAGGGGAAAAAATACATGTACATAAAAATACAGAAATACTTCATGAAAGAAGGTAAAAATCTCTTATTAAAATCAGAACCGGTGTTTATCAACAAAATTTACCACACCATTATGTAGTTTGAGGTTAAATCAAGATAATTTTTCCTTAGAATTTTTCACATCGACGATCCACAAACGGAGTTATCTTTCTTTTAACATCTGAATTAATCGCGCCGCTTTTGAAATTGGTTATCTTAAAGATGTAATAGAGTGAACAGATTCGAAGGGGAGTGAAAGCCCTGTTAATACAATTATCACAGATGATTATGTGATTACTGAAAAGGGTGTCTAGAATTACCTAATACGCTTTGAAAATATGATACGGATATTCGAAGCATATACCCGATAGATATGGTATCCTGTATCGCATAAAAGGGGGTTGATAAAATGCCCAAGTAGGAAGCATAATTATCCGGTATAGTGAAACAAATAGCACACGTGTTTTGTATTTGGTAAACCAAATTGCTATTAAAGAGAACTTAGATATCATCTTGCACATGCAATTGTTGCAGCCATTTAGAACCACCCGGTTAAGTAAAATTCTGTATTGGTCGGAATAACCAAAAAAGTAAAAAAAAAACCAAAAAAAACAAAACAAAACAAAACAAAAACATAAAACAAAAAATCAAAAACAAAAAAAAAAAAAAAAAAAAAAAAAAACAAAAAAAAAAAAAAAAAAAAAAAGAACCTTCACTTTCCCTGAAAACAAATCATTTCTGTTATTTTCTATAAAATTCTTATTTTCAATGTTAAAAATTATTCGCCACAGGAGTGATAAACCGAGAAACCAAAACACTCACCACAGGAGAAGGGCCTAATTAGATTGTACAAACTTGCAAAAGCCTGTAAAGAGCTTGAATCTTAAAGTTAAAATTGCAATAGAAAATAACAATAACTTGCAACAATTCAGTCAGTAGACTTTTTTGATGTTTACAAAATTGCGTTTCATCTTATTCATGGTTTACGAAGAATGGCTTCAGTTTTCTTCAGAATCCGCGAGATTCCGGAAGCTTTGCGGTTCCCAGGCGCCGTGCCTTTATGGTTTTCCCTTAGCTTCATGTATGCCCCTGTAACAAGTAAATTTGGTAAATATAAAATAATCAAAGATATATTATAAAAGACATACTGGCTCGATTCTTCTTATTTTGATTTATTATGTGTTTAGTTACTCTGCATTCATCAATTAATTCTTCCTTAATTTTGGAATTGTATTTCCTTATTAATGCTTGTTGTGAAAGTCATTTATAGAATTAGTTATTTTAGATAAATGGATAATATGATTTTTAATATTGATGCGTAATAATGGAATAGAAACATCATTGCATGTTTTAAATCACATTTCCAGCTGTTTTCACAACAGATGCTAATATCCTGAGATTTCAATCATAATTTTCCTCGTAATTAATTGAATAATAAAATTAGAACAAGTATAATTATTAAAAACAATTTCAAATATCATTATTTGTTTGAAATATTTGACAATATTATCAACAGTTATTTTATTTCTACGTCTACTTGCCTTTACAACCAAAATCAAACAAGAGCATAAAAATGGTCATTTTTTGAAATATGCAATAAATTAGAACAAGTATAGTTATATATTAAAAACAATTTCAAATATTATTATTTGTTCGAAATATTTGACTATATTATTATCAGTTATGTTATTTCTACGTCTACTTGCCTTTACAACCAAAATCAAACAAGAACATTTTTTTGAAATGTGCAATAAATAACAGCGAATGAATCAAAAACACAATATAAAACATGTACAAAGTAATACAAAGTTATAAACATCAACATCCAGAGTTAAGAGACAATAAATTAAGCATGTACTCGAAAGCAGCAATGAGTTACATCAAATTACTAGGTACAATTATGGTACGATTGACGGGATTTTATGGTTTAAAAAATAAATAATAAAGTGCCATTTTTCTATTTCTACTACAGATGCAAACATGGTTTTGTGTAGTCAGTTTATCATTGCTGTACTGTAGATCCACAAACTAGGGCGTATCATAAATATGATAACATGAACCAGCGAACTAGTGAAACTGGATTTCTATATACCGCGTATTTTGCTTTTAACGTGTCATATTTTTCTTATTCAGTGATGGTCTATTCATATTGAATCGTGAAATTAACCCTTAAAAGTGTTACACAAAATGTTTTGAGGCCTTACTAAAAAATTAATGACAAGAAGAATTGTTCTCAAATTAAATAATAAAAAATAAAAAATAACAGAGTTAGAAAATCTGTCTTAAATGTCAAGCGAGAGTCAAATCTCGATTATTTTGGCTAACAAGATTTCCATATATTTTTTAAAGGTTTTCCAATAGCTCCCATATATCAACACGACAGCCCAGGCAAGCATTGTAGGCGACGAAAAGCAAGAACAGTCTTTAGTGATCAGCAGTTAAATGGTCTGGAGAAAAGATTCGAAGCCCAGAGATATCTATCTACCCCCGAGAGAGTGGAACTGGCCAATCAGCTTAGTTTATCCGAAACACAGGTTAGCTGGTTTTTGCTAAAATTGTACATATCAAATAAGACACTTACAAAGAGATGAGTATTGTCATTTATTAAAAGACGGTATAAATATGAACAATTTAACAAACAAGAAGGGGGGCCAGATTCACAAGCTCTGATAATCAGTTTCGTAAAAATGATAATGTCTGAGCCCTCAAAAATGACTAAAAAAGTACCTGTAAAACAAGACAATCAAAAAACATTATAAGAAAAAAATGGCACATCAAAACAAGTGTGAAAACGGAAATATACATGCATGTGTGGGATAAAAATGTATTGCAAATTACATGCTAAAAGCGTTGCCAAAAAAGTAATTTTAATTCCGTACATATGCTTAAAACTTCCTTACCCAAACATTCAACATTATTATTTTTTCTTAATTTAACTATAATTTTCTATGTATTGACACTCTAGTACTTTGATATTTCTTTGTTAATTGCTTGGGAAGTTTGTCTTGAAGTTGAACGGAAATCCTTCCCCATCTTCATATCAATTTTGAGAACTGGAAACTATTTTTTAATACACAAGGAAATGCTTAAGAACAATCAATTTTAAATGTGACATCTTGGATATTATGTACTAAAAAAAACATTCTGTTCTGAAGGGAAAAACTATTTTTCATTTGCTCAGGGAATGTCTAAGACTTTGTGATTTACCATTTTTTGATTAGAGCCATTGCAATTATCTACTAATACATCTTGAAAGCTTTCTACTTTTCTACATTTTCATATTATAACTTATCTCTATTAAAGCACGATATTTTATTTTCTACAGTCTTCAAAAACGCAGAAAAAAAAACACTCAGTAAATAAAAAAGTGAGAAACAGTGAAATCTAAATGTTAACACAAAAAATCCGAAATTAATATTCTAAGTTTGATATGAGGTGTTATTCTCCGTATGGTTTAAAATAATTATGTTCACGCATTCTATTTTTTAAACACTCACAAAAAAGGGGAACCATTTCAAATAACGATTAATTATAAGAGCATTTCTAGAGGATTATGAGCAAAAATGTTACCAAGAGCAAAGAAGCTGTCACGAACTGCGTATTCAGAAGGTTTTAATTCATCAACACTTCGTTAATGCGATGACAGAATTCAAATTATTGGCTGTTGCTATTCATGTTTTTATAAAAAAAAATATGGGAATTATTTCGTTATTAGTGCGGTATTAAGATAAAACTTGATATCATAATTGACAGATATTACTTCACTGACGTTTGGAAAGTAACACTAATATATAATATATATAAGGATTGATATAGAAGAACATTAAGTTCTCATAAGCTTTAATCTTACATATGAGGTAAAAAATGAATATCATATAATTAAGTTTTTATTAACTTCTTATACGCAGGATTTTAGCCAGTAAAAAAAATGTATGAACTTTTATGAGCGACCAAAATGAGATGAATAAAACTTCTTACGTCAACACGAATACGTAAAACAAAAATGTTTAAAGAACGTAAAAACCATTTCTCGGAAAAAGATATTAAAGACTATGACTTTTTTCTCATTGTTATAGGTAAAAACATGGTTTCAAAACAGACGAATGAAACATAAAAAGCTACAGAAGAAACCAAATGAAGATGGTGAAGACACGAATGCAGATGACTCAAAAGAAATCGGATCTGACGATGAAGAGTCACGTGACAGTTTTACTTCCGGTAATGTTTCAGACAAAGCACAGTGTTCCTTAGCAAGGGATTTAGAAAACAAGCACTCGACGCCCTCTATCTATAAACCTTACCAACTTGAATCAGAAGACGTACATGAAGATGAAATTGACGTTGTAGATAGTGAAAATGAGGGCGAAATTTGATATTTACATGTGTTTGCTGAAATGAACCATCGTGTCATTTTTGCGATGTAAAACTGGTGCTGAAATGTTTTTGTCACACATAAAAATACCCTACAGTATACATTTTAACATACGGAACTATCCAATCGATACCATTGAATATTACTTGTATGCCATAACTTCTAGTTATACTATTATTACCAGAGAATCAGGGATTTTGAGTTTATAAAGTAAAGCTAAGTCCATTTTCCGACAATAGCTTCATACATGTATATTTTCTATTGGTAGCATATGATACCTTATTTCTTAGCGTAGTGCTGGAACTTTTCGTTTGAAATCCAAGTCGATGGAAAAGAAAATAGGGTAAACTTTTCTTTTCTCGTATAACTAGTCTGTAGTTGATTCACAGTGCTTGTATTTTATCTTGTTTTCTTTAAATTATTCCAAGGAGTTTGTGCTTTGAATCTTTTACGTCCAAGCCCATTTTAATAAAACGAGAGCTCTTTTTTATGACACAATGGCCAAATATTTCTAATACTAGTATTGTTACTTTTAAGAAATGTGCGTTTTGCACTTTCAATTTATGTTTTTGTTGTCAATGTTTGTAGTCATCTCATGTTTATTATTTTTAAAACATATATTATCCGATTCATTGATATTTTACATGTAAAGAATTGTTATAAATACTTATGACTAAAGCTGTTTTGTAGTATGTGTCAGTGTGCATGAAATATATCCAAAAGGCCTCTATACATTGCTAAGTTTTTCTCATCATTTTATGATAAACACTTCAATATATTATTGATAATAAAATTAAAAATTTTTATTGCTTTTTTCCCTTCTTTTTCCCCCTGAAGTAAATTTTACCATAACCAGTAAAAACGACTTTCAAAAATAAAAAAGAAAATAGGCGACAACGCCTTTTTTATTATTTTAATTAATTATTCTAACTATTGATAACCAGTGATGAAATTTATCTTACTATTGATTAAAAACAAAAATTAGAATTTGTACAAATGTATTGAAATTAGGCATCTGCTTTAGCCAGTCGTAAGAAGCCTATCTTTCAAAGAAAAAGAATATAGTTTGTAAAGAAATGGATTGAATCTAGATGTCCCCTTTAGCCAATCCTTGTGTCCAAGAAGCCAACTTCTCAAAGAAAGAGGGTTGGTCACCCTCCTCATTAACCCACTAACAAAATGCTAGTTATCTAACATCTGGGGAACATTTACAGCAGAAATTGAAAGGATGACCCCATTAGGGCTTCTTAAGGTCAATGACCAGATTTAACAAGCTTAAAAAAAGTAATTGATGCCTTCCTAAAGATTCGAAAGGTAATGAGAACATATTTCATCCGAACCCATTAAAAGTGTTGGGAAGCTTTCACTAACGCAATGGACATCACGGTTACCGCCTGTTATATATGATATAATTTAATCACGTGACTGACACCTAAACCTGTAAGAAAACCGATACCCTTGTGAAAGCATAATGGTTATGTATGAACAAATTTGTGTTTAAGTATCTAATTAAGTTGTACTCTTCAGAAGACTTAAGTCCACCTCCTTCCGCTTGTTTCAATATTGACAACACGTTACTTCTAATGAATCACTTTGGTTCTTTCTCTTTTGTGCCTGTAGAAGCAACAGGTTTAATCCTTTAGTATCACAAGGCCAACTTCCATTGTCCACCTAGCAACTTTTCCAGTACAACGAGTTAATGGAACGAGGCATGTGACAACAGAGTGGCGGGAAACCTTTGTGATAGCATAATATTGTGTTTCCAAACGAGCTAATTGCCAGTCGGGTTTCTATAGCGGGACTGGCCTGTTTGTTTGACTAGGCTTCCGGCAATCTACATGACAAAATAACATCTACAAATATTGAAGCACTTGGGCATTACGAAATTAAACATTTACTTGTGTACCAACAGAGGCACAGGAAAGGTGTTGTTTGCATATTTTAACAATTGTTGCATTTAGTCGTCTGAAATGTATCATTTCTATACAGACTTTGCAAGAAGTCATTCTTTTTTATACAATAGCGAAATAATTAATAGGGCATCAAGTATTTATTAATTTAAAAAAAAACTAGCTTAAACTTTATATTTTGAACACCTGTATTATAAAGTCATCAAAGTGAACAAACAACTTTTGTAAAGAAAAAACACTACTCACAACACTAAATTTCATCGCAGTAAAAGTTACAAACACATTTAATTTCAAATATAATAAGATATTTAATAGCATGAGTTTTTTCCTTAAAATAAAAAAAAATGTTTTAATTTAATAAATATGAATTTTTATCACGCAAGAAAATTCACCTTGAAATATCCCAAATAAATCAACGATTATGAGAAATAAGCTCGTTTTGTTCTAAAGTATTTTTATTCTAGCATATTTAAATTATTGTAAAAAAAAAAGAATAATTTTATACTCTTGATGAAAAATAATGTCAGAGTAACGGCTTTATAAACCGTAAACACTTTAACTAAATTAATATCATTCTCCCATTTTTCTCCATTAATTTCTTGGAAGAGATGTTTAAACATGTCGCCAGTTAGCCACTTTATTTGTCTGAAAAAGTGTCCAAATAGTCGATAATCTGTAATTCAACACGATACAGGAAGCTTAAAATTTACTCTATCTCAACACAAACACAACATTTAAGTGTTACAAAACAAAACTGTTTAACGAGGAACAAAGTCAACATGGCCTTCTTAATCAAAACAATTAAGCAAAACTAAAATCAGATGTGTTTCGAAAAAGGATTTTAGATGCCTTTATTCGATACAAACATGGATAAACAAACAATTTTACAGAATTTGAGTAGCAACTGTTAGAAGGATTCTTGAACAGGAAAAATAACCTTCAGTGGAACAAAGCTGCGATTGACATTGCATAACATTCTCATAAATGCTACTTTAAAACATCCTAAAAGTTTAAGTGTTTTGACAGTTTTATTCAATTGAAAACTGAAACATGGAAACCGAAAGCGAAATTTGTTTAATAAAATTGGGATATGAAATAAAAAGCAGCAAAACAGATTTCATTCAGATTCGCCTTTTGAACATGGAAATCTTAATGTAATCTATGCCAAAGATCAGAAAAAAGAACAGAATATTTGATAAACACTGCATAGAATATTATTCTTTATAGAATTTTTTCCTCATATTTGAAGCTTTAAAAAGGAAAAAAGAGTGAAGTTTATCTGAAATAGAAAAAGAATAAATTAAAAGGAGAGAAAAGTTTACAACTGAATTCTCAAGAATAACATATACATAAAAATCACTTCAAATTTATATAAAAGTTAAGTGCTTCTGAAGGATACTTCAGATTACCCCAATTTTGATGCGCTCAACTCACTTATATCATTAAACTCTCAAGAACTTAATTTCAAATATAAAACTAAAAGATAATTCACCTACTTAACAACCAAATAAAATACTAACAATACAGATTAACAACTTTTTAATTTAAAGTGATTTTTCCGCAACACATTTAGGTAATCGTCTTAGGAATTCTAGATCTATTACCCCACAAGTATGCATTAGGTCGAAGTCAACATAATGCATTCATTTTGATATATAAGAAACTTTAAGAGGATGTATGTTACGAGGCCCATGAAGGTTGTCTTTTTTCCAATTAAAGAACATAATCATATATTTATCCATTGCTATTACAAGATTTGAAAAAAAATCATTTTAGTGTAAAACTCTACCTTCAAGGCTCCAGGATAAAAGAAAGATTTTTGACTAAATCAGATTTTCAAATGTCTGTAAAATGTCCATTAATTTCTGAATTTTCTCTGAATTGATAGGTGATGAGGCTCTTGTAAAGTAATACTAAAAACATATTGCGGTTTTTGTCTGGGCCCTTGACTTCTACAATAATTTAGTAAACCATACATATTATATTGTAACTTAAACTAAATATGTTTTATATTTCCGGCCGGGGCCTGCTCACTTGATTTAGACAAACAAACGAAAAAGAAATATGAAACTGTCCAGAATTTTGTCACAAAATACCATTGCTGTTTCAACGAATACAATGATGATGCTAAATGTTTTGATTTATACATTGTGACATGTACATTCATCTGCTTAAAAGAGGCAAGTCATTTGTGAAATCAGAGAAATTTTTTTTTCTCTAGAACATTTTAAACACATGAATTCACTCGATAATTGTTTTAGTCTAAAGACTTGTTTTTATTTAAGAATTCTTTTTTGTAATGTTTTATCGTAAAATATTACTTAAAGCTAAGGCAAATGATGTCTTACATTGTTTCAAGTAATAAAAACCTAAATAATTTATCAACAATCTATGGATTATGACCTAGCTTGCAAAAAGAACTTTTTTGTGAGCAAAATAAAGTGATACGATATACATGTTATATGTTAAATGCCAAAAGTTTTTGAGCATAATGAATTTTCTTTAATCTTTAGAAAAATATCCATATTATATTTTTCATGAGAAATCATCTAAACAGTGATTAAAAAAATCTTTGTTTCAAGTAATTTGCATTATAACTAAAAAACATCATCCTTGTTGTTAATAATACTAATAATAATATGTTATGCAATTCTCAGTAAAATTAAAGGTCTTTTCCTTTGTCAGAGCTCTGGAACCATAGACGAATGATTTACAAAATTCTTCTCTTCTTTTTTGAAAAAAAATATCCTTTATATATGGCCTCCCATTAGCCAATTTTCAACACGTAAAATTATCTTAATACGGTAGCTTAAGGCGCTAGTAATAAGTACCTTTAAACATAAATAAAGCAAATCTTAAAAATACATAACGAGGGGTTCTGAATGGACACAAGTATTTATGGTTTTTGTCCATAATCTACTTAACAAGTTTTTTTCATCTCTTGCGGCTAAGGATTTTCAGCAGTTAACCATTTTAACTGATTTGGACCCCTAACTATGAGTAGATAAGTATATGAAATGAACGTTCAAGGCTTGAAGTATCTGCTTTCTCCTTACAGCAAAACAACACGTGCTGAAATTGGTGTGTGTATTGCATTGTAATATACACCCCGGGGTCCTACACCTGCAAAATATCTACAAGTTAGATTTCAGTCATTATTTACCTAAATCGGGTTGAATTCAAAATTTTATGTCTTAACAAAAGACAAAATGCGTTTGAAGTATGCCGATGAACTTTTGACTTGGCTAAAATGAAACTTGCATCACATTCCTCTGGGAATTTTAAAATGCTTTTAAAAAGTATTTCTAAAAGATACTATGTGTAATATTTTATTTTTTAAACTCTGTTTCTTTGTTAGTTGTTCATGAAATATTGGAAACAGTAATTGCCTCAGAAAGGGTAAATGTAAGATATAAGAGAAAGAAATTAAATTTGTTTTACCTTACACAAGAATTGGATTTTAATATGCAATTGATTCTAGTACCCTCCTTAACCTTATATTCAAATTCATTATATGTTTCTAATCGAATTGTGAGTGATTGATTTGAAAGCAATTGGATTAAAATCAATAAAATATCAGAGGATCTATTAACTTTATATATTTTCTCTGAAAATTAAATATCACACACGATTTAATTAACCTTTTCGACTAAAAAATCTTCAGTACAGAAAGAATTTCAACTATGTATAATAAATCATAGAGAGCAATTATATACTATATTTTGTCGTTGTTTTTTTTTACATAAAAATTAAATTTACCCTTTTTTCTATTCGCTCTATTGCTAGAATAATAAAATCATTCAAGTATAAATGAAAAAAAAGAATTCATCGGTTTCTATCTTACAAAAACTCAATTTTAAAAGTAAAAAAATCTTCAGAAATTAATATTTTCAT